GGGCGGGCGGGATGCGCCGGGCCGGGCGGCGGGGCCGCGCGGAACCGCCCGTGGGCTTAGCTGTAAACACGGATCTACGCGCGGTGATGAAAGGCTAAGAAGGATCGTGGGTGTCTGACGAGGGATTAAACACCCTAGTTTTGCACTTCCCTTTTTCAGGCTCTTTCAAAAACGCCGTAATTCCTACGGGGCGCTGTTTTACATGGTCAGAGCAAACCCTCTACGTCCTCTTTCCAAACAGTTATCTTCAAAACTTGTGTAATTCAGCACCAGGGGTTACTTGGTTTCAATAGCTAATTTTGATTGCCCATGTGGGCACCCCAGCCAGCCCTGGGGTTTCGCCTGTGTTTTGTGTTTTTTCCTGTTGTTTCTACATTCAGCAGTGCTGTGGTGTACATCACAGATCGCGGTGGGAAAGTTTGTTGATATTTCTGTGTTGTTGTTGTTACATAAGTTATTTGCTGCAATAAAAGTAAACAACAACTGACACGACATCTAAGTTCTAAATACTTCAAAATATCTAAATTATCTGCTGGCCTAAGGGAAAAGACTAAGTATTTTAACAGTTTTTCTTGTGAGCTGTGGTTGACAGTCACTTCAGTTATGCTTTTAGGTGCCTGTTGTGAAAGAGGGCAGCAGGTAGTGCAGGATATATTATTGTTAATATTATTATTATTATTACTATTCTTATTATATGGGGACAGCAGGGTAAGGTTGTAGCTACAACTCCGTGGCAGGTGTGGAAGCCACAGAGATGTATTAGATATTAGTTCCCTATGAATTCCCTAGAGATTATTCCTTGGGTTATGAAATCCCTCAGGACAAGGTGCATGCACAGAGCAGAGCAAATCCTTCCTCTCTGTCCGTGTCTAACTTCTGGACTTCAGTGCGAGTTGTGCCGCAGGCAGTGCTGGAATATGTCTCTCCACGGTTGTTCCCGGTAAATCAGGAGCCTGGCAAACACTTGTTTTCACTCCCTGCTCCGCAGACTGTGCTGAGCAAACGTATTTCATGCCCTGTGGGAGCCTGCCTGCATAAATCACCTCCGTGGATATTTTTAATGGCCTGCTTAGTTATTCTGGTCTAGATGTGTATGTTGGGTGAGGATATCTTACCATGTGCAGATGGCATAAATCTTTAAGTCGCATTTCACTGTTATTCCTCTTCTGAATTATTAATAAAAAAAGACAATAAATTTGTGTTAGGTTTGTTTTGGTTTTAATATTTTGATGGAATATGGTCAAGTGTCTTTAGTCAGAATTAACTATGATGATAATAATTGATTGGAGAGCCTCTTCTCTTTACAATAACATGTTTTTTTCTCCAGCAACTCTTATGTATAACCTTTATGTAGACACAGAAAAGCGCCTGCTGTAAGTGGATAGTGTTGAATGCTAAAGCCTGTGGAAAGAGCCTAATGGAAGTATTCTGAGTTCTACAGCCTTTAGATAGGCTAAGATAGAAAGATTTTCTGTGGCAGATGTATAGTCTGTCTTTTTATTTGGAAGTAGAGAAATTTGGACTATTATCTGCACTTCTCAAGTGACATCCTTTTCATCATGAAACTAGATTTTTTTTTCACTGATTTAGAATTTGCACAAAATCTTTGAATCAGTGGTAATAAAAGGCCTCAGACACAAACTGTAGGAGTTGTACCATAGAATTGCCCCATCATAGTCATTAAAATTCTGTTCCTTAGAAAAACAGATAGATACAGCTTTGAAGATACACAACTAGAATAATCTTGCATTTGATAGTATTTTTATTTAATATTGCAATTGAAAGTTTAAATCTTTAAATTATATTTTAGATGGCAAATTGTTGTCAGATGATGTGACTCATTACGTGGTCCCTGACTGGAAGGTGGCTCAAGATTACCTTGAGATTCTGGAGTTTCCAGAGCTGAAAGGTATTATTTTCATGCAAACAGCATGTCAAGCTGTGCAACATCAAAAAGGCCGCAGGTACTTGCCCTGTAATAACTTACTGTTATTTTAAATCGAAGTAAAGATGTTAAGTTTGTAGAATATGTATTTAAGTACAGAATGCTTAATTTGTTTTTCAGTCTTTCAAGTGTTTTGATATAGTTCTGTGAATGGGAAAAAGCTATGAATAGCTTTTTGTGCTATGGATGGTCTTGTTGGAAAAAGATTCTTGCGTATTGTATCTCAAACATGGTCAAAAAAATGAAGCATCCATCATATAAGTATAAAAAGGTCGTCTTACAGATGACTTTTAGAGTTATCATCAAAGGTGAAATTTAAGAATCAATGCCTTTGTTTATGAATGATGGGATTTAGTCTCACGCTGTTGGAATTCTTTAGTTTTCCTTGAGTCATTCAGCTATACTTTTAACTGGAGTGAACATGACATTATCAGATGAAATCACAAGACTGTATTTGTCTCTTTGTGTTCCAGACAGTACAACAAATTGCGAAATCTAGTAAAGGATGCCCGTCATGACTGTGTTGTGTTTCCTAATGAATTCCACCAGCATTCCTATGTGCCGAGAGAGAAGGGAGAATCCATGGAGAAATGGCAGACCAGTTTTAACTGAACTGTTTTTGTACAAGAACATCGTGACATTATGTTTAGAAATGTTGTCAGGCATTGGATATGTATGAATTAGTTCTCGTGCTCTGCTTAGCTCTAGAATAGTTCACAGCAGTTGAAAGTCTAGGTTGTCCTTTTGTGATTAAGATTACAGTTGTGATTATTTTTTCTTAGAAAAATAGAGCAGCTTTATATATTCTTCTCAAGTGTATGCCTGTCCAGTAGCAAATGGGATATGTCAGAAATCTTGTTCAAACTTTGCTTTTCTAGGAGTATTTACAATGCAGCAGTCTGGTATTACAATCACTGCTTGGGTCAGATGCCGGTTGTTATGGTAACAGAAGATGAAGATGCCATCAGGCAGTATGGAAATGAAACAGAAGGAGTGTTTGTGATTTCCTTCAAGGTAACATACCTGAAAAACAGGAAGAGAAAGAGCTTGCCTTTTTGCTGCATCAAAATGGCAAAGCAAGTACCTTAAACCTGATGTGCAGCGCAAACCATTCTGGAGTTTACATATAAAAATACTGCAGTGCTAACTCGTGACTTCATTTGTCAAAGGAAGCAAAGATGTCAATGCTGGGAATGTCATGAGAATTAGAGACAGTGAGTATAACAGAACTGAGAAAGAAAACAGCAGCTGCAAGAATAGAGGTCATCCTTCTTGTGATCCCTTTTAATTGTTTTCCATGTACCTAAAGAATTCAGTGCTGATGAGCAATAATCAGTTACCTCAGCCAGCAGTCTAAACCTGTGGTACAAGTCCATTAAGAGTGATAACTTAAATATACATTGTATTATTCTCTCCAGTGTACTTCAGCCTCGATTATTTAGGTTGTTGTGATGCGCATGAAGATAGTTCACAGAATCACAGTTCATTCTTCATGTGGTTGTTGCTTTCTGATACTGCCCGTATTCAGCAGAGGAGGTGGCTGGAAGGTTTACTTCAAGCCTTGAAAGGATGTCACGAGATGATGAACTCTTAATAGAAACCAACCCCTAAAAGATTGACTTTAGAGTTTTATTTATTTATTTATTTAAAATTTCTGAGGTAGTGGAAAATGTTCCAAATGCAGTGTACAGCATTGTATAGAAACTGTGAAAATAACAATGAGGGCTCGTACGGGACTATGTTGGTGATAAAACTTACTGAATCTCTAGTCTAGTGTCTTAACAGTAATATTCTTTTTGTTGTATTCAGCCAATGTACTGGGTTGAATCTGGAATAAGCATGTGATGTTCGGAACAAACACATGATTACCACTGAGAAAAACTTAGAGAATAGTACGTGATAGCCTTGCAAATGAAGCATTATTTAAAGAACAGAGGTGTCTCAAACCCGTTTATGTATGTGCATACAGAATTACTTGGATAACTTTTGGCCTGACTTGAAGGCTGCCCATGAGCTCTTTGTCTCAATAACTCAAGCTCGTCGTGAACGGGAGAGTGAAAGTCAAGAAAATAATGGAAAAGAGTATCCTGAGCACTTACCTATGGAAATATTGGAGGCTGGGGTCAAATCTGGAAGATACATCCAGGTAACTTGTTATTTAGAGAGCATACACAGAACAGTTGGTGCACTCTTGTGGTATGTCCCTTAAGTTTCCTGAATTAAATTGGTTAGAAGAATATCACTATAGTGGGAAAAGGGAAAAAGGATATTGGGGGAAAAGAGAAAGCCATCAGAAAAAGACAGAGTTTGGAAGAGAGGAATTGTAAAGAAGTTGGCTGTTGAAGTTAGCTAAGGAATAGGCAGCAAAGATACTTATTCCCATTGTTTCCCTCTCAAAAAGCAAGTTGCTCAGGGAATAGCACCTGGGATTCTCAGAATATTTTCTGTACTTGCTCTTGTGAGCATACACATGAGAGTTCGTTATTGATGATCTGCAGTTTGCTGTGGATTTTTCTTCAGGTTGATCTGTACTGTTGCTCAAAGTTGAGGAACTAGGTATGATATCAGGCATATTAACAAATTCCAAAATAACCCACATATCAATAAAAGCTACTCATGTATTAAAACTATGTTTAAATCCACAAATGTTGAAATAGCCAGCAAAGATACTTATTCCCATTGTTTTCCTCTCAAAAAGCAAGTTGTTCAGGGAATAGCACCTGGGATTCTCGGAATATTTTCTGTACTTGCTCTTGTGAGCATACACATGAGAGTTCGTTATCGATGATCTGCAGTTTGCTGTGGATTTTTCTTCAGGTTGATCTGTGCTGTTGCTCAAAGTTGAGGAACTAGGTATGATATCAGGCATATTAACAAATTCCAAAATAACCCACATATCAATAAAAGCTACTCATGTATTAAAACTATGTTTAAATCCACAAATGTTGTACTTTAAAATAGGCACTTTTGAGATGTGGCTTTTTTTTAACAGTTTATTACTTTCTTTTAGGGTGTCTTAAATGTCAATAAGCATCGAGCACAGCTGGAAGCTTTTGTTCGACTTCAGGGAGTTGGCAGCAAAGAAACAGGTGAAAGTACAATGAGATGATATCCCCATGATTTCTGGGGGAGAATTCAATGTTCTGTGCCAATCTACTGAGGAAAAAATAAACTTACCTCAGTCCCTCTAACTTTATTGGTGTCCAGCTATTAAGAAGATGAAAGCTGAGATACTGCAATAGTGGAATTTACTTCATGAACCAGAAAGGATGTGGAAGATTATTCCATAGGGTCTCTGGAAAAACGATAAGCTGTGTTTCCACCTTCTCCTTTCCAAATAGCTTTGGCTGTAATGTTTTAGATTCATCTGTCCTATTAATGGGTTTCTCTAGATTCCTTCTAAAGTTGAATAGTCATCTTTTTCTTATCTTTGTGCTCTGCTCTTAACTCCTTTTACTACTCTTCTACTTTTGTGATTGAAGTGTTTGCAAAGAACAATGAGCTCATTATAGCCTATGAAAACTTTTATCCAAGAGTTCACCTACAGAAGATAGAAAGGAGAGAACAATTTTAATTTTTCGCAATATTGGTTATTGCCAATAGTTTTATTTTGGAAGAAATCATATGAAAAAATATAATCTGCAAACTGTTATTTTGGCAGAATGCTGCCAAGGTTGGAGAGATTTTAATTTTTAGCTGCTTATGATTCTGTTTCTTCTTATTTTACATTTAGAACTTCAGAGTGATGTACTTATTTATGGAGCCAAAGCTCGAAATCGTGCAATCCATGGTGATGTGGTAGCTGTTGAGTTGCTACCCTCACATGAGTGGAAAGGAAGGACTGTTGCCCTTTGTGAAAATGAGACTGAGGATAAAACACCTGCAGACACCACTGGAGACCCTATGCCCACAGGTGAAGTGCAGTATGATATTTCTTTAAGAATTCTTCACTGCCTTGGTCTGAACTATGTTCTACTCTTGATTATATAGTCCCTTCTCAGATTTCTGTCACATTTTTGCACCATAATAAATTCCAAATGCTTATGCCAAATTAAGGTGTTCTAACACACCTCAAAAATAAGACCACTAGACTAGAAAGTAGAGTCTTCAGTAGATACTGTGTGTGAAAAAAATCTCATTTGAAACATTTGATTTAATAAAGTTATTTGACTGCCAATGGGATGTTATAATGGCAAGATGTTCACTGAGGTTGTCAGCAGATGGTAGCATCAGTCGAACTTGCGGTATTACCATGGGAAACACTTGGAATTCAGACTTGGATGTATTCTTATTAATTTAATCACTTTACTTAAAAGAATTGCTAGTTAAGATAGTGTTGGCCTAGAAGACAAAATCTTGGATACTTTGCCATCCAAACACTGTCACTCCTCACAGCTGCTCAAGACATGAACGGCCATTCCAATATTCAAGTCTAAAGCTTTTGTCAGTGATGAAGTCTCGTGCTCTCACTGCAATCTGTCATGCCAATATATCCTGGGAACTCTGATTCTTACTTGAAAATATTACTCAGTGGATGTAGCTACCTTTATAAAGTCTTTTGAGTTTGCTGAGCTCAGAGTTAAAAGTTCAGGAGGTTAGTTCTGCCTGCAATAAAATGCTGTGTGATTGGGGTCTTTGCTATTAAATGCTTTTGTATTTTTTTTTAATTGGCAACATTTCAGTAAAAGACTATGGGAATCTCCCTGAAGTTCTGCAGTGTATCAATGTAAATGTATAAAATAGGTTAATCTCTTTTGAAAGAAGGGCAATGCATAAATCTAGCTGTACCAATTGTAATTTATAACAAACATTGATTTTTAAATAGTACAATAGTCATGTAAGTGCTATTTAGATTGCATTAAGCCTCTGGTTTAATGCAGTAGAGTTATGACCAGTATGGTCTGCTACTGGGTCTTGTTAGTGCTTGTAATGTAGGTTTGTACACACCTCAGTTCATATTACAAAATAATGAATCATCTGCACCTCGCACATATTTGCTTTCCTGTGCTAATTTAACTATTTAATGTATAGCAAACAATGTTCCTTATTTAAAGGCAAAGTCATTGGAATCATTCAAAGGAACTGGAGGGATTACGTGGTCACTTTCCCTTCCAAAGAAGACAGCCAGACCCAGGGAAAAAATGCTCAGAAAATTCTTGTTACACCTTGGGATTACAGAATTCCCAAAATCCGGATCAGCACCCACCAAGCTGAAACGCTACAGGTAGTTTGACATGAGTGTTTCTGTATTTTGTATTCTTTTAAAATTGTGGAGGTTTCATGTACCTTAATGAAGTTTTTCCAAAGCAAAAAGGAGGGGTAAAAGATAAAGTCAAGTCTGCCAGAGCAGTCTGAGTTCTACCTTAAACTAGTGTGTTCAACACCTGTCAGGACTGCGTCACCTTCAGGTATGAAAGTTTATTTGACTTCGGAATTTGGGGCTTGCACTGTTTGTCCCTCAATGAGTGTTTATTTTGATTACTTATCAGGAGCAGATTGAAGTTCTAACTGAAGAATTGTCTTGCTGCAGGACTACAGAGTTGTTGTGCGAATTGATTCCTGGGAATCAACATCTTTATATCCAAATGGACACTTCGTGAGAGTTTTAGGAAGAATTGGAGATCTGGAAGGGGAAATTGCAACCATCCTTGTGGAGAACAGCATTTCTGTTGCCCCCTTTTCAGAAATCCAGGTTAGTCTTTGTGATTAGGCACATTATTGATTTTCAGGGTGTTGTTCCTCAAAAAGAGGGACTTAGGTGACTCACAGATTTTTGAAAGCTGGAAACTATAAATAGAATATTTCTCTAATATTACTTTTGCGTGAATGTAGTGGTTCTAAAGATACTATGAAATTTCAAGTCAGGAGTGACTTTAATAAAATCTGTTTACTCTGAAAAAAATGATTCTTAAAACCCAAGCATATTGAAATCACCATAATGCCCTTTGTCTTCAACCAGGTAGGGACCAGCTATCACAGAAAAGATGCATGCAAAAACCCAAAATGCACCTTTGGGGTTCACCAGTAGTATCATTTGTTAATAATATGTGTAGTATTCTTTTAGATTGGCTCATACTTTCTGTAAAATAAATGACTTGCATAATGCAAAGAAGAATTTGACAAGAACGAAAAAGTACAGTGACACAGAAGCATTGACATAGTAGAAAAGGAAAAACTAATTATATCTAACTTGTATACTTTTTTTCTTAAGAAAAGTTGTAACTGTATGATCATGGATAATGTTTTTGTGCAGATGAGTGAAATGCCTGTGAGTTCTTCAAAGAATCCTTGGAAGGTGAATCCAGAGGAGGAAAAAAAACGTGTTGACTTGAGAGAAACGCACCTGATATTCAGCATAGACCCCAAAGGCTGCGAGGACGTGGATGACGCACTGTCCATTAGAGCTCTGCCTAACGGGAATCTGGAGTTAGGTGTCCACATTGCAGATGTCACCCATTTCGTGGCAGTAAATTCTTATACTGATGTGGAGGCCAGAGCAAGGTAAGCTGTTATCTAAAAAATAAGAAATGTGTGGAGCTTGAAGTTTGTAATGTTGCTCTAAGGAAAGACTTAGAAATCTGTTTCTTCCTTTGAAAGAGTTACTGACTGTGGAAGCAGATTATAAAAAATACATTCCTAGAAGTATTCGGCTTGCATTTGGATAAAGTAAGCTTGCTACAGAATAAACTTTCAGACATACTGCCTTACGTTTTTTTTCCTCTGAAATTGCTCTTTTCCACAAAGTAATGATATAAGTTCATCTCTCCTTAATCACCATTTTGCTTTATATTCCTCATCACTTATTATTTAAATTATTTACAAATTGCTTATGGGCTTTCCAAAGCGGATGAGTCTTTTCCCAGAACATGGAACACCTTCAAAACAGAGAGAATCTTATATTAATTTAATTTCAGGAATACTCTGGAGCACAGGCTCTTTTTTGTGTTTAAATATGTCAGATATTCAGTCTATTTTTTTACTATTATTGTTGATTTGAATTTAAATTGCTGAATCATTTTATTAAGTGCATTACGATACTCCAGAACACAGGCTCTTTTTGTGTGTTTATATATGTCAGATACTCAAGTCTATTTTTTATTATTATTGTTGATTGGAATTTAAACTGCTGAATCATTTTATTAAGTGCATTACTTTCTTGCATAGATGCAAAAAAACTTAAACTTCATGGCCAGCAGAGATGTTTGGTAGAGCCACTAAGTAACCCATTTTTAGCTGAGCATGTTTTGTGCACCTCTAGCTCTGCTCTTCATGGAAGCTGTAGATAGAAGGACACAGAACTAGCCCAATCTATACAAATTATTACTTAAATAATTTGAGTTTCATGCCACGAGTGTGTATTGTGTAAGAATAACCTTTTAAAGTCATGCCATGTGTCATGTGTTGCTGAAGCTTTGTTCATACTGTGAACTGCTTGAGGTGTGCACCCACGAGTGCCTGTTGACCAGTGTGTGTGCTTTATTCCTCAGGGCAACCACTTACTACTTAGCAGACCGACGTTACGACATGCTGCCCTCTATCCTGAGTGCTGACATCTGCTCTCTTCTTAGTGGAGTTGATAGGTAACATTTGCATTTTTGAGGGGAAAGAAAAAAGATTTTTACTCGTAATGTAATTATCTCTACCAATCTCTCTAGTAACTGTGTGTTTTTCTCATTGTTGCTAAATCCCAAAGTGAAAGAGGAGCCACGTGAAAGCTACTTTAATTTTCTACTGTTGCCTGTTCTTCAAACATGCTACTATCCTATTTTGCAATTTAGAGGGTTGTCTGACTGATATGAGGATGTACAGGATACACCTACACTAATAATAGGCACATCTGGCCAGGATAATAAAATAAAAATGAATAAAACTACAACTAGAGCAGTGAAACTGGGCTTTAAAGCAGATATGGCTTTATATTTTAGGGCAAGATTGTCTTAGCAAGTAGATTGATACTAATGGTGGCATAATTATTCAGATTTATTCGCTGTGTGGTACTGAAAGACAAGTGCACCACTGGCATTGCTGAGCACTATTTGCTTCATTAAGAAAAAAATGTAAAATATCACAGAAAGCAATCAGAATATTTGGAACAGTTTGGGCTTGAGATGCTAGTTTAAGGCAACCAGAACTGCTTATAGATTCTGATTTTATCTTTAAGGTACGCTGTAAGTGTCACGTGGGAACTAGATAAAGAGTCTTATGAAATCCTGGGTGTCTCCTACAAGAAAAGCATCATTCGGTCTGCATACAAGCTGGTCTACGAAACAGCACAAGGATTATTAGATGGAGACACAAGTGTTGTTGCTGATATCCTGGAACTGAAAGACTTGGATGAAAGAACTAGACAGAAGAAGTTGACTGAGCTGGTCTGGGCAATATCAAAATTGACCCACATAGCACGACATGTTAGGGCTAAGCGGGACAGCTGTGGTGCTCTGGAGCTGGAAGGGGTAGAAATCAGAGTGCAGCTGGATGACAAAAAGAATATCCACGATCTCATCCCCAAGCAGCCCCTGGAGGTACACGAGACGGTGGCAGAATGTATGATTCTTGCCAACCATTGGGTGGCAAAAAAGATTGCAGAAAATTTTCCTCATCAAGCTTTGCTGCGTCAACACCCTCCACCGCGACAGGAGTTTTTTTCTGAGCTTCGTGAATGTGCCAGTGCCAAAGGTTTCACCATAGACACACGGTATTGTTACTGCTTACCTTAAGTGCTTTAGTTAAACCATTAACTGTTTGGGTATAATTGTTACAAACCATCACAATTCTGCCTGTTAATGCTAATAGACACTACATAGCAGTTCTTAACATCTTTACCACTCTTTCAGTAAGTGGGAGATAATGTCCTATACAGAAATGCTATAGGCATTTCTGTTGGTTGGACTGAAAATGTGAATACCTGAATAATTTTGGGTATATCAGATAAAATTTGATAAAGTTTGCTCACTCTGCATGGTGAAGCTGTGTAATAGCCTTCTTTCCGCCGTATTTCCCATAACTGTACAATATATAAATGTTTCAGAATTAATGATTTCTTATTTTTTGACAGGTCTAACAAAACATTGGCTGAGTCCCTGGATAAAGCAGATGACCCCCAGGATCCAATTGTAAATAAACTTTTGCGATCTATGGCCACTCACGCCATGTCCAATGCACTGTACTTCTCAACTGGTTCTTGTCCTGAAGGAGAGTTTCATCATTATGGTATCCTGTCACTTGCTATTTTTAATGCTATTCACATTATTTCTGAACTGCTAGTGGATTTGTGACTTTTTTCTTACCACAGCTTCGTTTTTTATTTGTAGGACTTGCCTTAGATAAATACACTCATTTTACTTCTCCAATTAGAAGATACGCTGATATTGTTGTCCACAGACTGCTGGTGGCAGCCGCTGTGAAGGAAAGTAAAGGAGATGTTAAGGACAGTGTATTCAGCAATAAGGATCTTGAGGAACTCTGTAGGCACATTAATAACAGAAACAGGGTAAGCTGGTCAGTGTGCCTGTCCTGGCATGCTAGTAACCCCTCCAGTGCACCAGGAACCCGTCCTGACTGTAGCTTTTGGGTTCTACACTAACATAGTTTCACGTCATTTTAATGTTAAATATTAAATTAACAACAAAAGGATGTCAGATAAGGTTGTCCATTTTGCCTCGTGGGCAAAAGACAAAAATTGGGAAATTGTATGCAACTTGATGAGAAAATTGTGCAGTTTATCAGAAAATAACTGAAGAATGCAGTATTTTTAAATTATTTTCTCTCTTAAATTTTTCTTTTGTTCCAATAGTAACTGCACACTTCACCTGTGCTACAACTAGGATTTCAATTTGGATATAATTTTTTTAGGGGCCCTAGAGGGGAGTAAGTCATGGAAGAAAGAAACATAAAGATCAAAGGCAAAGAAGCATTTTAGAATTCTCACTAGTTTTGCTGTATTTTGGGGGGATATTTGCAGGCAGCCCAGCACGCTCAGAAGCAGTCGACCGAACTCTTCCAGTGCATGTACTTCCGAGACGGGAGCCCCGGGCCGGAGGAGCGCTGCCTCGCCGACGGCGTCATTTACTCGATCCGAACCAACGGCGTGCTGGTGTTTGTGCCGCGGTAAGGCGAGCAGAGCGTGCAGGGAACTGGAAAATAAGACGTGTTGTGGAAATGCTGCAAGGACAGTTCTGGTCCTTGAGAAAGGAAGCATTTAGAGCATGGCTTGGTGGTGATGGAGGACTGCATTTAAATTTTATGCATATAAGTCATATATCTAAGGCAGTGCTTTTCTGTGAATGGACTTTGGAAAAAAAGAGCTCTCATGAGGGCACTGGAAGACTATCCCATCTAGAATGTGTTCGTTTCCTAACAGTGAAACCCGCTCTGATCATCTGCAGTTCTACTGGCTCTCACCATGCTCTGTCCTGCTGTAAAATGTTTGAGTCACAACATCCAATATGGGGATATCTCATGTGTTGGAGATTCCACTATTACAGGGTTCACATGCTAGCCCATTGAGATGAAAAAAAAATCAACCCAGGAGTAAAAGACATGCTTCATCCTCATCAAGAGAGGTTGTGGAGTCTCCTTCTCTGGAGATCTTCAAACCCGCTTGGACGCAGCCCTGTGCCACGTGCTCTAGGTGACCCTGCGTGTGCAGGGGGTTGGACTAGATGGCCCCTTCCAACTTTCAGCATTCTGGGAAGTCTCTCTGCAGTCCCTAAGAGCAAACCAATCTCTCTGGGAATTAGATAAGGTGTATTTTTTTAAATGCTCTAGCACCCTTTTGCCCAAGCAGCTGTTAAAGCAGAATAATGATTGGAATGTTTAGTAGCAAGGAGTTTTTTTTTTTTTTTAATCAGAGCTTTCCTTTGGTTTCAAAATTAGTAAGAGAACTGATAAGGATGAAAACTCTCAGAACAGCCTCCCTTTGCTTTCTTGTAGATATGGCATTAAAGCTGCGGCATATATGAAAAACAAAGAAGGTTTAGTCATCTCTTGTCACCATGATAGCAGCTGTGAGTGGAAGCCTGGGTCCCTTCTTCACTTTCAGAACAAAATTACTTCCACTACAACTACTGGAGGCTCCGTTACATTAAACCTATTTGATCACATTACAGTGAGTATTTACTTTGCTTTTACTTCCTTCCAACAGCATGATGAGAAATAACATTTGTATATTGCTTTTAAGGTGAAAATACTTGTGCATTCCTCCCGCTGCCATGCTGACACGATCAAACTTGAAATAATCAGGATTGCACCATATGAGACGTCAGACACAGAGGTTTTCCAAAAGAATTCTAATGTGGCAAAATTGGAATTAGTAAAAGAAGTGAGCAAGTCTGCAGAGGAAACCCAACGTGCTCAAGAAAAAGCAGGAGTGGAGGCAATTGAGGAAGAGTATCGGGAGTACTGCCAGACAAAGGGAGCAAGTTTATACCAGCTGCTGGAAGAGATTAGGGATTTAGCTCTATTAGACGTTTCAGCTGACATTAGAACTTGAACTGTCTTCTAGCTTGTTCATCCTCTTGTTCATACTCACTTTGTAAGATTTTAATTTTTTAAAAAAGCAATATATTTAAATCTTGAGTCATTTTAATAAGAAATGAAATACCTATTTTTAAATAACTATTCTTATTTGATTATGAACCTAACTTTTAAAAAGAATTTATACATGATAAAGTGCATCTACCAGACTAAAGCCAGTGTGGTGAATCATTTTAAACATCATTCAAAAATAGTTGACTTAAGCAATTACCTCCCCCTATTTTCCCTAAATGAAGTTCCTAAAGTCTTTTCTCATGTCATCCTTGTCACAGTTGTTCTGAACTAAAGCTTTGCATGTGCATACTTCTCACTGTAATCCAGAATGCAGAACCAGTGCTTATTGCAACTACCCTACACATCCCCCCATTACCCACAGGTTACCTCCTAATGAAATGATTTTGGCTGCTGTAACTGTAAGTCTTATCCCCCTTGTACCTTGAGATCCAGTTTCTTTTGCAAACAACAGTCAGCCGGAGGGTGCTGTAGAGGGCTGGTTTAGGCCTTGACCATTATAGCAATATGGTGGAATAGTTTCTTGCTTCCTTCTACAAAAAGGAAGGTGTTAGTAGGGCTGGTTCTGTGATGTAGCAAGGAAAAACAGTACTGCAAAGAGAAGATTAGGCAGAACTTCAAGAGAGTGAGCAAGATCAGCTGAAGTAAAAAGATAACTAATTCCCTTAAAGCCAAAGTATGTTCGTGTAAGGAGATGTAGTTAGGTGGGAGGAGATTTGATTTGCATCATGCATCTTGAAATTGCAGTTTTTTTAGCTTAAGCACCTTTTGCAAGATTTTCAATTTTCGTTTCTGAAATTTAATAGCTTTCTTTTTATAAGGACAAAATATTTATTTGATAAGTGAATTACAAAATGCAAAACATCTGGTTCAATACATAACACCATCTCCTACTTAAAAACTTTAAATATAAACCTGATTAGCTGTGTCAAGGGCACAGCTAATTCACTTTCAGATCAACAGAAGAAGATTCAGATCAGGTCAAACACCTTCTATCAGTGACACTTCCCCAAGAACAGCACTGCCAAAGCTCTCAAGTGTCTCAAACATATTTCTATTCCATTTCCCAAGGTAGAGAGCTGCTCATTTTCAAAAAAACCAAGTTCTGTCCAACTGTGTAGACATCAAGATTAAGACTTCCCTGCAGCTTCCGGAGTCAGACTGGGAATAGCTGGTGACAGTCGCATACAGTGTTGGGAATCTCTGTGTTAAGAAAGTCATTCGAAGTATGGGGAAAGGTCATTGCTTTTCGCTGGTAGATTCCAATTCTGCATCTCTGTCCTCAGCATCTGCAACAGCAAACTTGGTTGCTGTAACCTGAGGGTCCTCTATAAGGTCATCCAGATCCTGAGCAGTCGTGGTATTAAACGCTTCTTCTGGGTAACTAGCAGAGAGCTCTAAGGAAAAAAAAAAAAAAAAATATATATATATATATATATATATATATATACACACACACATTGTAAGAGATTTTGAGCCTGCAGCTTTTAATTGTAAGAATGCATACACTGTCTTTCAAACCTTGTGTTTCAAACCAAGCTTTTCTCTTTAGTAAGAAGGCAAAACCTTCGAAGTTTTCAGACTATTAGCGTTATATCAACATAGAAGTTAGGAAACTATTTACCACTTTGTTGTGACTGGCTGTTACACCGCAACTTCGCCTGTCTCCGTTCCAAGGCCAGTTGCCTGTTCTTTTTGATTCGCTCTTGTTGCTCCTCTGTGAGGGTTGTACCAGAGGGAGAATCCAGTTCTTCTCTTATAACTGCAGAGCCAGCACGTAGGTCTTCAGTTGCTGTATCCAGCCCATTGCTTTCCCCTCCACCATCTGATTTTAAAGGAATTGCAAAAGGTGGGGGTCAAGAGGACAAAAATCAACATTTTGAACCTGAATATATTGCTAAAATGTCATCTTGTCAGGTATTTAAAAACATTTCTGACCATATGCTGCATTTTAAAGTTGTATTAATAGCTGAAGATCAGTCTGTGATTTAGTTTTCAGCTACCTGGCAAATTTTCATCCAGCTGTATGTAACCGATATGCAGAGTGATATAAATCGACTGCTTATCAGAGAACCAAAACACACAGCAGCAAGTAGCTTCTGACTATACAGCAGTCTTTTCACCCATAAGCTGTGTCTGAAGGTCAAAACTCAGTATATTCAGAGGTACAATCCTTACTATAAGGCTAGATACTTTTCTTTCTACCCATGCTAGTACCACGGTGTCCTTTGGAAAGTGGAGGGACTAGCTCTGGGAATCAATAGATGGGTAAAAACACAGGCATGAAATAGCCAATTCTGAATTCAGCGCAATATTATTATGGAATATTTATTCAGCTGTCAATATTAACACATGCAAATGGAAGCAGTCCAACTATGCTATACGAACCTCACCCACCAACAGGCAAGCAAAGCACTGTCTCAAGATTACCTAAGGCCAAGTATGTTTGTACCTCTGCTCACATTAAACTTGTAAGCAGAAGGTAGCTGAAAACAAGGCTTTTTAATACCATCGTCTAGCTTCTATTTCTAGGTTGCATTTTTATTTCAAAATTGTTAGATATTTACCCCAGCGTTTCACCTCAACACTGGCCAGCTGTAGCAGTACACTGGCTAACAGTTCAAGAACATTATCAGTAGGATTTAAATACAAATGTATGGAACCATCGCACAGAAAAATCTGATATCTCTACAGACTCTGTCGGCAGGAACCACTTATTTACTATTTGTGGCTTCTTATGGTTGCATTAAACATCTCTCAAATGCAGCCAATAGCAAAGAGAGCCACATTTCACCTAGTGCCCTACGGTCTTCCCCATAGATACAACAAAGCTTTACCTCTGTGAACATTTTCACCGCAACATGTTCAACAAGCACCGATTTAGCTGAACGGTGTTCAAATGAAAGTCCAAATGAAAGCTACAGTAGAAGGGTAAATGCTTGCAAAGGACCTCAGAAAAAAACTATGAAATCCTGACATTTCTGCTAGTAAAATCTTTCATACTACCCTCTAAGTGAATTCTGCTCCTTTTTATAAATGAACTTATTTTCTGCTCCGTCTGAAAGTGTCATTTCATTAGAAGAAACTCTTGAATTATCTATTTAAGTGGCTGGATTTTGAAAGAAGCAGCAGCAGCTACATGCCAAGAGTGAATATACATAGCACTGCTTGGATAAAAACTCTAAGCACTTTTCCTATGAAGGACACTGCATCCTGCCTGCATAGTAAAAGCTGGCCAAAATCTTCGATTCCGTTAATAGCAACCCAGAGGCCTCCAGACTGCACACTCATGTGAGAATAAAGTATGTTCACTTGAGAATAGCAGTTCAGGATTTTCAGAAAGACCATTGCTAACAATGCTGATTTTAATACCCATTTCCTCTCTATATGCCACTCAGTTATAAACATATGAGGAGTATTTTAGTTTCATTATCAGTTATGTAATTTTAAGTCTTTCACGAAGGCCTGATTTCAAAGTCAAGGACCAGTTTTAATTGCTTCTACACCAGAAAAATGAATCCTGACCGTTAACTCAGTGAGAAGGAAAGGAAAGAGGATCTATCACCTAACCAGAGGAATCTGCACTCTTACATAACATTTCTTTAGTAAAGGTGTCTTTTGTAAGTCAGAGCAGATTTTTGAAGTGCAGTTTTAATAATTAACGTGATAGGAACTTTCAAATACTGGATCGCTTAAGTGAAAGAAATTAATTTAAATCAAGTTATAATCCTAAATACTAAGCACAACTTAAGTCTTTTTTTACTGTGCAACTACACTCATAAACCTACCCCTTATAGTACTGCATGAAGAGAAACAGACGAGCAGCATGTACCTGAACTTCCTTTTTGTTTCCCAACGACTCGACTCTGTCGATAAAATCATCAAACTGCAATTTTGGAAATAATCTATGAGCCCAGTGTTCCATATGTCGCATAAGCGTCTTCAGGTCCTCTGCCTAGAAAGCAAAAACAAGACATCCAGCTGTTAAAAGTTGAATCAATAGAGCCAGGGGGAAAAGTCAGTACACGCGGAGGGGAACACGCCAATAATATTTCATAAAATATTCAACTTTTGTAGTTTGAAAGTATCTCGAAAAATCTATGTAAGATAAAGGTCCAGCATCTATCCTCCCACAATCAAGTTTGTAAGAGCAGTTTCAAGTTGTGAGAAAAAACAGTCATCAATATTTAGAAAAACTATTTCCATACTGTAAAACATTAAATAGGCTTCTGAGAAGTTGCCCCTTAAGCAGCCTATACCCAAATCAAGACTGGAAAACATGGTTATCATGTTTACTTTTATTTTTAAGTTTAGAAAGTACAAAACAATGCACATCTAAATAACCTTATCCAATAAATATTCCCACTTACATCAGCAGTTTTGCCTAGTTTCTTTCTCCTCCTGTTACCCAGAGAATTTATATCATAACTTTCTTTGTAAACTAAAGGTTTCTTTGCAAAGGTTCTTGTAGTCAATTTAATGATATTTACTTCAAAAAGAAAAAAAAAGACAATGAGACAGCTTGTGGAGAAACTGCTGCTTTCTCTTTGGTTTGCAATTTAGTATTAGAGGCTTTAGGATAGAAGTGTCACAACAGCCAGAGCAGGAAAAAGCATTTCTTAAGACTTGAGATTTCAAACGCATCTTTCTACAGACAAGTCACAGATGTGATATCCCTGTCCTGAAGAAGAGGAAAGTATTTTAAGAGCAAAATACTGGTTCTGAGTGTTATTTATTTTTATTTGTAACTTCAAAATTCGGCAGAATATGTTCGAACTATGTTAGAAGGCTGCACATGGGTTGCCTAACCAGAGCTGAGTATCGAGACTTCCCATACAAGCAGGACAGCAATCCATCTATCAATCTAAACTAATCCCTCAAAAAACAAAAGAGAAATTCAGAATTTCTCACCTCATGCCCCTTACCCTTGAATTTTGTGTTGTCAAACATGTGTCTTAAGGCAGGAAGTCCTCTTTCAGAAATCAACCTGTTAGTATGAAAAAATCCAAGTTATTTGAAACTCATACCTACTTTTTTTTTTTTTTAAATCAAACTCCTCCCTTTTGTCTAAAACTTTCTGCAAGTTTTGCTTGAGAGATGTATGGGTTTAAAAGCCATAAAACAAAAATAAATCACACAAAAGTACGCCAGAGGAATTAAGACTGCGAAAAAGAATGAGACTTTTTTGGAAAGTCACCATAAAAGCAGCACCTGTCAAAGCAACTTTTTGATTACACAGAATTAAATGTGAAGGCCACTGCACATCTCTGTGCTGGCCAAGCAGAACCAACTAGGTACATGCCCAAGACAACCAGCTATAGCATCAGAAAATAATTTCATCAGAATATTTTAACAGAAAAGAAAACACAAGGTCAGATTCTTTCTATTTTTTATCGACACATTTCCCCAATTTTAGTGGAAAGAGCAAGGGAAATACTAAAATCTTTAACCTGTACAAATAAGAGTTTATCCACTTCGTACAGAAGTCAAGGGTAAGTGCACTTATATAGCACTTTAGACTATTATACTCGGGCTTTACTTTGAAACATACTTCAACTAAACTATAATATATCCAGAGTAATATGTCTGAGCCAAAATAAAGATCATATAGCTCGAAGATAACCAAATATATATCAGAAAGAAAGTCTGTTAAAAACAAACAACAGACATACACACACACAACCTTTGGGCATCTAGCTTAGGTATTGGTCTTCTAACTGCTCTCTGTCTAGTCACAGAAGAATCCTTATCCTTCCCTTGGGACTGCTGGTTATCATCTGGTTCTAACAAAAGAAATAAAACATACTGTAAGTATATGCAAATTACATTAACATTACACAAGCATTACACAACATAAACTTTTAAGTTTCTACCTTACTTCAAAGGCACGTAAGCATTCCACTGTACTTATTACTTCCAACAAATGTTCGCACATTTCTACTTCCCCGACAAAATGGTCTGGAAATCAACAGCTCTCTGAAGTATATTAAGAATCAAGTTTTCTAGCAAAGAAGGATAATTCCTTTTCAAAGACCCTAGTTTACCACTTGCACATTCCTGATCAGAAATGTATTCAGAGTGGTTGCGGCCAGTTCTGAAAGTTAAAACACTTGAGTGATAACAGGCGTTTCCAAAACCTTAAAATTTTAAATTTTTAAACTTCACTACCACCTTCAAAAATAGAGAAAGGGATGATATGAGCACAACCAACAAGTCCCTATGTCTTTTAAAGAAGTTTGGGGTGTTTTGTTTAAGGTTGGACATGTACTTTCGACTTTAACAAAAAAGCCACAAGTACCTCTCTCTGCTAAAAACTAGCAATTAATTGACATACTGATTTTTCTTTTATATTTGTACCCTTGACCATCCTAACGTTGGAAGTTAGGGATTTCCTTTTCATGTATCAAGGAATTAAATCTATTCCAAACTGTATTTTCTAGTAAACAGAACAGCAAGGATCAAGAAAAATACATACGTAACATGTCTATTCATATTTGCCTACAAACAGTACTTTCAAGACATCTTTCTGCCTTCTGTTAACCAGTTCACTATACTGGAGAGCTGTAAGATCTTTCAAAATTTCACTTGTCCCAAGCACTTTGGCTATTTTCCAAAGCGCATTCCCTACAGAAGAAAACACCATCTCCCGGGACTACTATACTCAGCACTCCTACCTTTTCTCCACTCGAGGTAAGTCATAAAGGGTAATTACACATTACTGCTGTACACTTATCTCTACAGATGTTTGGGTACAAGAGTTTGAATTTTTAAAAGATTCATTTGTGCTGCAGATGTTTCAATGGAATTAAAAAAAAACTTTTCCCACAGCTGTGAAGGTGTGGAATCATATATATTTTAAGTCTAACAAATGCCCTCTTATCTACAAGACTTATTTTTATATAAAGCTACAGACAGTTACCTTTATAGGAACAATATACACAATTGTAGATAAGAAATTAAACATAACAATGTACAACACCAAGAGTAAGATTTCTACAATGCAAAATTGGTTCTTCAGATGTCCCAGGTACTCACCTCCATTAGCTACAGCCCATTCGGCATCATCTTTTCCTGGAGAGGTAGGAGGTAGAAGAGGTGGAAACGTCTCATCTTCTGTATTCTCATAGTCAGGAAGATCAAACAGGTTGTTTTCCAGAGGATCTATCATTGCTGCAGATCAAATTTCTCTCCTGCAGGAAATACCAAAAAAAAAAAAAATTAAAAAGAATTTTAAAAGAAGCATCGAGAAGCAAAGCATCAGTTACATACTGATGTACTGCAACACGGCTGTGTCTCAGCTTTTCTAAAAAAAAAGTAAAAATAAAATTGAAAAAATCCCCACTCTGCTACTTAGGTAGCAGATACCACGCTTAAGGGTGACACAACCCAGCCTTGCCATGCCAGATAAAAGTCTCTCTCATGTCCCAACTTATCCAAACTATTTGGGAGGGGCAGAAATGGGTCACAGATATATAAAAAAAAATAAGTTTTCTAACTACAGATTTCTAACTAAAGCACTTACTACGGAGCTGTTTTCCCACAAAGCCCTTGAAAACCAAAGAATACTGGGCCGCAGGAGAGGAAACAACCCCCCTGCTTCCCAGCTTACCCACTTAGACGCGCAGCCTGGAGCAGGATTCCCTTTTCCCAGTCCTTTAGCGCAGACAATTCCAGAGCCTTGGGCGCCACTCGAGCCCGCCGCGACGCGCTCTCGCCGCAAACAGGCGGCTCCGGGAAGAGCCCGTTTTTCTGCG